CGTTAGAAATAACATTGTCACAGCCGACCCCAAGGTCGGCGGAGTTACATGCCGCGATAACGAGAAAATCGTTCTGCTGTCGCCACTGGGTCACGACCTCCTTCCTCTTTCAATTCTCCGGAGGTCGATAACCTCATTCCCGTCTGAGCGCGCCAATTTCATGACCTACCTTCTCACGAGCCTACACACGCACACCGGACGCACGGTCTCTCCGCGACGCTGATCTCGCGCTCGTGTGCCTCGTCGGGGTCCCAACTTCGACCGAAAATCAATCACGCCGATCCGCGGTTTCTCAAATTTACTCGAGCAGCCAATCTCGGCTTCCTTACTGCCAGTTCCTGCGAGATTGATTGCGCGTGTACGTGTACGTGTACAAAGCTGAACCTCGTTTGCTCTGCGATATCGTACTTCTAATGAGAATTTGGTAGTCGAGCGTTGTACGGGCTACCTTTGTTTTCGGGAGATAAAATGTGGCAATGAATGCGTAGGGGGACTTTGAATAGAGTTTCTAATAAATATTCGAAAGAATAATAAATATTATTAGATATAACTCTTTGCGAACGAAGACTCGCAGAGTATACTAAACTTTCAGCAGAAGAAGCTGAATAAATAGAAAACTCGAACTTCAGAAAGAATGGAACTGCTGAGCTTGTTTATTTGAATAATTAACGCATTGCACGCCTAAATTTCAGCTACTAAAAACGCGAGCCTCGGTAATCGTATTCATAGATTTTTGAACAAATCAAACCGAAGTTTGCAACTTACGAAAAAGAATAAGAAATTCGATGCTGTAATTTTACTTTGGATTTGTGTTATAGTATCTAAAATGTTAGATTGTAGGACTAGCAATTAAGCGATGGTCTAAAAATCGTCAAATTGACGACATGCGTCCTTAACACTAGATTTACGGACATTTATTCTATTGTTCCTAAAGTGTTAGGATTTTGGAATAAATTGATCAAAGACTAAGTTGATTCCCTGTAATATCGATTTTGACATGTTAGTGATCCGAACGTAAATTTCAGAGTTTTTGGAGTTTCTGAAAAGTCTCCTTCACATCATTCGAATCGGTGTTATGATTCTTCGATGGAGGATTGTGTAATCTCAGAATTAGACGAGTATAATTAGGGACAAGAATAGAATTGAATTTTAGGCGTTCACGAGATACGTGTGAGCCGAATATTAACTCCCCGGTGTGTGCCGGGAAGTTGGACACGTGACCGAGCTTTTAAATCGAGTTTAGTGAATAGAAGTATTTTCGGAGTCGCGTTAGTTCGAGGATAACGTTATTTCGGGGATTCGAAGATTAAATTGGGAGAAATGTTGTGTTGTCGGATTACAATGGCGAGTTCGACGCGCGGCGGAGCTTTTACACTGAATTCCACGTGCAGGAATATTCGTAGGTTCAACATGAGTTTCTCGATTTAAAGAAAATTATATCGACCGATCGTGCAGATAGATATAGAATAAATATCTACATAATTTCATCCCTTAACTGGAAATCGTTAAAGCGATGCTTTAACACTAGGTTCACGGAACCCGTCAATCTGACGGATATTGAGTTAAACATTATTTAGTAATAGTTCAAGTCGATCAACACTCTGGTTTTGAAGCTACACGTGTTAAAGAAAGCCCCCGAGGCGAAGGGTTGGAAAATGAATGTCGCGAAACGTTCAATAGCGAGGATTATGTTGAAGTTTCCTCCCAGCGAAATTAGCTAGAAAAATCCACACGCGCGTATAAAAATCTGCAGTCTAGTAATGATATAGCCGGCTAATAAACCCAGCGGGATCATAGAGGGTTGGTTCCGGCGGTCAACAAAGGGTATCGCGAAAGCAGGAAAGCGATACCTCGGCCAGTGCCGTGGAAAGCAGCTCCCTTACAAATTAGTTTCTCTTTCGGAGCAGCTTTGAACATTTTTGAGCTGGCAAAGGCGATCGCGGTGCCCTAACTAGCTCGAACTCGCAAAAGGAGGAGCTGTGCCTTTAAAACTGTCCTCGTGCCGGAACGTTTTTTCATCGGGACTCAAAGTAATTACGGTATACAATTTAAAAAGAAGACTCGAGTGAAACATTGAGAAACGTAATAGGAATCTCGCATACCCTAATTCGTTAATGAGGGTTCAATGAAACTGAAGCTCGTTCTTCATTTATTAACTCTCGCGACTCTTCGTTGTAACTTCTGAATAAATTAACCCTGTAGGCCCATGTAACTTTGAAGTCGTATATCAGTATATTGGCATCTTGTTGATTTATTTCATTTTACTCGAAATGGTGAATAAAATTAAGTAATCGGTTAACTGAAACTTTCACACGCTCAGGGTTGAAAGTTTGTCAGCGTAACTTGAAATACAAAATATATTCGTCTGATGAAATTATTGGAACTGCTGAATAAATGATTAGTTCGTATTCATATGTGGATATTTATTAATTTTGTACTGCATGGATTTTTATAATCATGAAAAATTCGGCCCATGGAGGGTTAATGACGAGTAAGACTCGTGACGAAGATTTCTAGACCAATTTTACAACCAATGTTCATTACACACTGATCAAAGCAAACTATTTTCATCTCCAAATGAAATCTCTACTTCGAGTAGAATGGAAAATTTTGTTATAATCATGAAAAATTCGGCCCATAGAGGGTTAACGAGAAGAATAATGGATTACTGAAAGAAGAAGAAGCTAGCTCGAGTAGAAACGAATAACAAATTACCATCGGAAAACGAGACGATCGGGCCTACGTTGCTCCACGGAGTGACCCCGCGACCTTACCTCCCAAAAAGGAGCAAGAAGAACAAGGAAAAGAGAGTGAACTGCCGGCTGTTGGACAACCGTCCGCAGTCCTCGTGTCGGTAAATATATTATCACCGTCAACCGGCTGTAGAAGGCCTGGCTGCACGCCGGTGTCAAAGCGGAGAGACCCGTCCGACCCGAGCGACCCGTCGACCCACCCCTGCGGGGCCCCTCTGGTCGGCTCGCACCTACACACAACACGGCCGTCCCCCCCTCTCCGCCGGCGTCCGGGGGCGTCGTGCATACGTGCACACCGTTAACCGTCTGCACGTACGATTGATGGCGAGGCAACGGTGGCAGTGACCCATGACCCGGATTGGAAACTGGGTGCCGGAGAGAGGCATACCCGGCGAGGCCGAGAGGGCGAGAGTTGGGGTTA